AATTGTAACAGAACACCTCAGACTGAGTCCAGTGAGAGTCCTAGGTGCAGCTCTTTAGATGCAAAAACGGAAGACCTGTTTTTCTAATAGAAGAGTACTCAGTAACTCCTGTCAGGAGTGTAACCCTAAAGAACAAGGGCTAAATTATGCTTTGATTTGAATTACATCTAAGAATCCATGCTGCCAAAATATGCCAATGCCTATCTTCTTAAAAAAAAACAAACAAAAAAAACCCCCCAAACAAAAAACCCTTCTATCTAGCAAAAAGAACAGGAGTACTAGTGGCACGGCTGCTACTCTGAAACCTTCTATCTAGAGCTTTCTGGTGCCTGGTGGGAGTGCTTCTTCTGAAAGCCTGACTCCTACTCCTGAGCCACCCACTTGCATTCTGTCTACACAGGAAAGGTGACCCATAGCTGGGAGCATCTGTTAGCCACAGGTCCTGCCAACTCCATCTCACTTTGGCTGATGGGCCAAACTGCCTCTCTAAACTAGACTTAGTCTTTATTTTTTGACTCTTACTGCTATGGATGCAGCTCCATCAGTGGTGGCAGAGCTACCATGTTCTCTAGACTTGCTCAGTAGTAACTCAGGTGAGTCAGGACTCCTGTCCAGGCTTCCGTACGGGTGGTAAATTCTGAGTTTCATTGTATGGGTAGCCTTGATCTTGCCTTTAAAAGACCGCCATCCTAGTTTAAAATCAAAAGGAAGCTATGCCAGCAAGGATAAAGTGGTGCTAATAATTTTTTTTAATTTACCATTCTTGGCTCGAAAATTGCCTTTCCTCCCTGTCATGGTGTAAAATGATCTTTAGGGGGTGTTAGTAAAGTGTGGGAGGCACCTCATTTCTCTGAAAGCAACAGCAGTGATTTAATTAGGGTATAACTTAATTTGAGGTCTTTGCTCTCAGCTGTTTCCCAGTGCTGAAAACTGATGACCTAGCCAGTTGAAATTCTTCTACCAAGTGGTTTAAAAACAAAAAAAAAAATCCCCACTTTCCACTGTTCTTGCACTTCACTAGAAAATAGCCCAGAAGACTGTTATACAACAGAGCTGGTTTACCACTTAAAACAAAATGGAAACAGAAATAGCTTGTGTGGATAACGATTCCTGCACTGCATTGATTTCGCTATAACCAGACTAGTTCCATTCTTCCTTCTGATTGAGCAAAGGTCCTCTCTGCCACTAGACAAGAAAAATACTAACATAACAAGACCTATGTTTAAACGTGTGAACAGAGTAGAAGGGACTGAACAGGAACGTAATTATCTACAATTAGGCTATGGTGTAACTGCCCCACCTAAAGTAAAACAGCTACTGACCGACACAGTTCTTCAGTATGTTCTACTCTTGAATGTTTAGTTATAAAATAAGCAGAGACAAGCCCCTGCACTGCCTTATAACTGCTACTTCAGAGCTTTTTTCCTTCCAGGTGATAATTGAAAGATACAAGGGTGAGAAGCAGCTTCCAGTTCTGGATAAAACTAAGTTCCTGGTACCAGATCATGTCAACATGAGCGAACTAATCAAAATTATCAGGTATGTTAAGGGTTGAGTACGTGGTGGATCAAAATAAAGTCATAGTTCAGTGTTAATCTGCTAGCTAGTGAATGCTTTGGATAACTGTGATAGGACAATGACCTCAGGTTGCCCCTTTGTGGTACAGCGTGGCCCTGCTGTCCTCTCTCTCCTGCTTTGGGTCTTTCAGTCACTTACTCAAACCCAGGGACTGAGGACAAGATGTCCCAGTTGTATTCTTGGGGGGCGGGGGGGCGGGAAAGGAGGAAAGAGTTAAGATCCCACAACCCCTCTCTCCACCGCCCCACCCATTTGTACCCTGAAGTCCAACCCTTCAGCCCTGGGGTTAATGCCAACAAGTATGTTCGCTCAACTTCAGGAGTCCCTAGCATGTCTCCTGGAGTTGGATTAGCATGCAGAATAAAGTCAAGTACATCTGATAAGGCATCCACAGCTCTCCCCTTGGAGTAGGGTTACAATTCAAGCCAGCTGTAGCCCTCAGTCAGCTTCTCAGATAGTCTCTTTTTACTTACTGCTTTCATTTGTCCACTTGGCAAGGTTAACAGGTCAAAATTGTCATCCTCCTCCTAGAGTTTTGGGTAGCTCTTCTTTCTAGCACTACTTCCCTCCAACTGAGCGCTGGTAGCCTTTTATCAGGCCTAGGCACTCATTAATTAACTGCCTAGGTGATGTTAATTAACTGCTTACAGGTGTGCTGAGATGGCTGGTTCCAATAGTGTTGTCAAGGAGAAAGGAGGGTAAACAGAGTTTACCCCTTTCATACTTGAGGAAAAAGGAGTTTAGGTTAGTTTACCCACTTATTTTTCCCCCTACTACATTACTGGCTTGTTCTCCTTGAAGTCTGTAATGAGCAGACTGGGCCCTGGCTCCACGTTAAGGGGCCAGCCACCTGTGACACCCTTTAAACAAACTATACAGTTTTTTTGTACCAGTATAACTATTAGTTAGGGATGTAAATTTTTTATCCAAATTGCTATACCAGTACAACCGCTGGTGAAGATGCAGTTTTACCAGTATGGTTTCCCTTTTGCATTTGAGAATATAACTATACTGCCATAAAGCATCTCTCTACCGCTATCGCTGCATCCAGACTAGGGGGCCAAAGCACTTTAAGTATGTTGGGTCTAACTAAAGCAGCGCAACTTGTGTGTGGACAAGCCCTAACTGAAAATGTTGAATTCCATAATACAGATTCATAAACCGTGGTGCTTTGATATCCATGCTTCTTACTGAGACTGTGACTGAGTATTGTAATACTTTTGCTTTGCGTTGCTTCAGAGGAAAGTCAAAGATGAAGTTAGAAGAAAAAAAAAAACCTTAATATGTTACATTGTATCATAAGGTATTACTATGCAGCAGAGGAGATCCATGTACAGTTCCCTATCTTAAAGCAGGGAATATTTGATTAGAGGTAATAAGTAGTCATCAGTGTTGGGTATCATTCACCATTTGAGTTTAGTTTGTTGCTTCACTAATGTTCTAAAGCAGTAGTTCTCAAACCTTAGCAACCCGAGGACCCCCATTTTAAATTTTTTCGGGCCCCCCCAAGTTCCCTCGCTTAGCCCCCACCCCACCCCTTCCCGCTCGCTCCACCCTCCCTCTGTCACTTGCTCTCCCCCATCCTCACTCACTTTCACCAGGCTGGGGCAGGGGGTTGGGTTGGGGTAAGGGAGGGGTGCAGGCTCTGGCCAGGCAGTGCTTACCTCGGGCAGCTCCCGAAAACGACCGACACATCTCTCTGGCAGCGGCTTCTAGGTGGGGCGGGGGTCACTGCGCATTGCCCCCGCATCTCCCATTGGCCACAGTTTCCAGCCAATGGGAGCTGCAGAGTCGGCGCTTGGGGCAGGGGCAGTGCGCAGAGACCCCCGGTCTCTCTCCCTAACCGCCCTCTCTCTCCCCCCCCCGCCCCGGATGTGCCGGCCGCTTCTGGGAGCGGCACAGAGCCAAGGCAGGCAGGGAGCCTGCCTTAGCCCCGCTGTGCTGCCTGACTTTTAGCACCTAAAAGCTTCCAGTTTGGCTTCAGTAGCCTCCAGGAGATAGAGGGAGGGGGAGGAGTTGAGGGAGGGAGGTGGAGTAATAGATCAGCAGGACCAGCGAACCCCCTGGAGTACTGTTGGTGACCCCTGGGGTCCATGGACCCCTGTTTGAGAAATGCTGTTCTAAAGAATAGAGTGGCTGTTTCTCTGGCTGAACTGTAGATGTGAGCTACTTCTTTTAGAGTTGTCTTTGGGACAAATAGTAAAATAGAGACCCTCCCCATATGTCACTGTAAAAATCCCCCTTATGGGATTGTTAATGTCTTAGCCTAATCCAGATTCTTACATAAGAACTACTAAAAGTGGGAACTGACTTCAGAATTAGAGGCCCAAAGTATTTTGGAGCAGTTTAAAAGACTTTTTAATTAAGATCATACTTTAGCAGTAGGACTTGTCTACACAGAGACACACAGGATAACTTAATCCAAAATAACACTTAACTAATCTATTTTACATTCACACCTAAAGTGTATTAAATCCCTGTGTGGATTCAGAATTAAGATGACTTTAATTTGATTTCTCTTTATTCACTTCCAAATGGAGGTAGACCAATATAGAAGTGAATTAAGAAAAACCAAAATAACTTCTGTATTGGTTTACTTTAATTCAGTTTGGAAGTGAATTAAGAGAAAACAAATTAAAGCCACCTTAATTCTAAATAAGAGCATCCACACATGGATTTAAGGCTGTTTAACTAATCCATTTTAAATTCACACACAGTTAATTTAGATTAATTTTCTTGTGTCCTTGAATAGACAAGGCCTTAGCTGAAAGGTCTTCCTGCTACTCAGTCTTTTTGTCCATTTTTGTGCTGGACTTCAGTGCCCATAATTGACTTTGTATAATTGGTCTTGGTCTTACCCATGCGCTTTTGCATATACCAAACTGTAGCCACTCTGCGGGAACGTCGTCCTGTGCTGTCTATTGGCTACTACATTCAGTAAACCTTTTGTACCCTGAGTGGTTAGAATTTGAGCTCAAGCTGGCTCTTCTTTTAGCTACAGCACAGTAGAGCAAAGGAATCTTCTGTTGAGAGCTCTGCAGCTGCTAGAGCCAAGAGCAGAGCTGGCAGGAAGCAGCTCTGGCCTCAGCGACGTAGAGCGGCAGAACGAGTATTTATGTGCTGCTGCCTGCTGTGGAAGGCAGTCTGACTCCTCAGCGCCATCCTCCTGCAGGAACAGAATGACAACCCATTAATTCCTTTTCAAGCTCCCCATTTCTCCTCACTTTAGTCCTGCATGGATCTGCTCCAGTGCAGAAGGCTGTGTACTTCAAAGCCCAGAATCTTAAGAATAAGCACGTTTTTCTTGCTTCAGTCCTCATGTTTATGGGCAAAGCTATGGGTTTTTTTCCACAGAAAATTGTAATGCACGTCACGGCAGAGGTGTGGGGGAAAACGAGGATATGTCACAAAGGGTGGGGAGGGGCTGGAGAGTGAGCTAACTCTGCAGCAGTGGTTCCTGTCCCACAAGGCTGAGCCTGGCTCCACACTCCAGGCATTGCAATGGAGGCAGAGGGCCAAATTTGATTGGCATTGGAGCGCTGGATGCACCAAACCTGAGCAGCGCTGCAACCATGTATGCCAGCGCTGCAACCATGTATGCCTGGAGGCCACAGGAGCTGCAGGGGTCACAGACTTATTCAGATTCACAATGACCATGAACACTGATCTTTGTGCCAAAATCTTAGCCTTACTGATGGTTCCACAGAAGGCTGTTTGGGCCCCTCCTCTGTACCCTTGTAAAGGCCAACTTGTTTAAAAATGTCAGGGTGCTTTCCAGGGAATATGAAATGAAAAGCTCCTAAGGTTAGGCTGAGCCTGGATTCTCCAAGTGCTTGTAAAAGTCATAATTCCGTCCTTCATTCTGTCGGTGGCTAACCTGGCTTTCCTATTCCACAGCTTTGAAGGCTCTAGGGCCTGACTTTTCCAAACTGTGCATGCAGATAAACGGTTCTAATCTCATGCTTGCAGATACGTGATTTCAGTAAATGAGCAATTTCTACACTTTTGGATTTTTACCAACTACAATAAGAACCCCTGGCAACTGCCTTGAGCACTCTTGACAATCTTTAAAAATATACTAAACTGATCTTCAGTTCCCGCTATCAAATGGATAATCAAAGGACAACAAATACAATAGAAGCTAACAGTACACAGTGCCAGGGGGTTTACCCCATCAGCTCTCCGAAAACACCTGTCTCCCCACAGACAAGGGGCAAAGTGGGCCTTAGCGTGCACATTGAAGACATGATAAGGAAGTGAGTTCCAAAGGTCTAGGGCCCTAATGGAGAACACCCTGCCAGCTACCCATGGGGGTTCAGGTCAGGTCATTGCATGAATCTGGGCCTCAGTTTCATACCATTACAGTGAGAGGTTCCTTAACTAAGCCTAAATACAAAAGTCTTTTGGGCCTTGTCTACATAGAACATTGTGGTTCTTTCGGTATAATTATAGTTATTCTGTAACCTCTATGTAGACACTTCCGAGTGTCAGAGTGCCGCTTTTCAGTTTAGTTTAAACCCCTTCCTAAGTGACAAGCTAAGCGACAAGCTAAGCTGAAAATGGCACTTTTATACTGGAATAAGTGTCTACACAGGCAGGTTTGTAGCAGTATAACTATGCTGTTATAACCCCACTGGTGTACCTGGCAAACTTTCCCATGTAGGCCCTGTACAAGAGACTACGGGCAGGTCTACACTACGGCAGGGATCGACACTCTAAGATCGATCCACCGGCGGTCGATTTAGCGGGTCTAGTAAAGACCCGCCAAATCGACTGCAGATTGCTCTCCAGTCGACCCATGTACTCTACCCCCGACAAGAAGAGTAAGATAAGTTGACAGGAGATTTTCTCCCGTTGACCCCCCACGGCATAGACCCCGCTGTAACTCTACATAAGGTATGTGGACTGTAGCTGGAGTTGCGTAGTGTGGGTTGACTTATCGCGGTAGTGTAGACATAGCCTCAGCCTCTATTTCAGGGCTTGTCTACATGGTGTGTTAGTGCAAAACACCTTGGATGTAAGTTCTCTGGCACACTAACAGTGCTAGCACACACTGACTGTTTCTGGCATGCCTGATGTGTAGTGCTGCTTACAAGATTACGTTATGCTCACTAGGAAATTTTTAGTGCATGCCAGTAGGTCTGCAAGGACAGTTAGTGTTACTCCTGGGGGAATTCTGCGCTAAAAAATTCAGCACACAATATTCGAAAGTACAATATGCAGAATTTGTCAAAGTAACACAATAATATAATGCCAGTTACAATTATTTTGGTAATTTATTTCAAAATATCTGTTAGCAAGTATGTCTGTAACAATACAGACAAAAAAAAAGTTCTGGTAATTTTTTATTGATAAATTCCTTACTAGGCATATTAATACAGAACTTTGTGTAATTCATTTAAATTACAATACAGAACTGTATTTCCGGTCAGAAGCAGTGCAAAGGCTTTGGGGAGTCGAGTACCAGAACAGCTGAGTGAGAGGGAAGGAGCCTAGGCGTGAATCTGGAGGGTTTTGGATGTCGGTGGGAAGGTTTGCACTGGGCATAGCATTTTGAATTTTCCCACATAAAATACATTTTGTCTAAGTGCTGCAATTTTGCCTTTTGCCCACCAGAGGCCTCTGTGGCGCCTGAACAGTGGCATGAATGCAGCTGGCTGTTCCGGCACCACAGTAGTCTCTGATGGGTAAAAGGCAGAACTGCAGCAAAATGTGTTTTATGCGGGAAAATACCAATTTTTTTATGCAAGACAGATGATTTCTGTGTGTCCGTGGATGCACAGAATTCCCATAGGCGTATAGTGTGCACCAGCACGTTGCTCACTAACACAGCAAGTGGACATGTCCGAAATGAGCCTTTGTTAGACAATACTGGGGTAACACACAGTTCCATTACCATGGCACTTTCCTCCTCTTTCTTTAACAGACGCCGCCTGCAGCTGAATTCCACTCAGGCTTTCTTCTTACTGGTGAATGGACACAGCATGGTGAGCGTGTCAACCCCCATATCAGAGGTGTATGAAAGCGAAAAGGATGAAGATGGATTCCTGTACATGGTATATGCCTCTCAGGAAACTTTTGGAGTCCAATCTTCTGTGTAAACCATTCAAGTGGCTTCTAGCCTAGGATTTTGGTTTTACCTTCTACCCCCTATCCCCACCCCAGGAAAAAGAAAGGGATGTCACCTCTCAGTACCTTAGCATAGTCTTGCTTTAGCAGGTGTCCTCCTCTTACCTTGCCTTGTTTGTGAATATTAAACAGCTGAGTGCCAGTACAGACCAGCATAGATCTAGCTTTGAAAACCCGCTGTCATATTTCACATAGGCACACTTGATTTAAGTCTCTGGACTTCCTGAATGGAACCATACCTTGCACATTCAGATTGCCAGCACAAGAAACACTTGACTGACTTCAGTGACACAGGAACTGGCACCAGTTTCCAGTAGTGAACAAAAGTGTTTGTGTGACATCTTTCTGTTAATTCCTCTTACTGTTCCTAGAAAGTGCTCCTTTTCAGGGAAAGGCTTCCGTTTTCCACCATGGAGCAAACATGTAAGGCTCTAAAGTGCAAGTTTGTGCATATTAAATCTTTAGTCCAACTACGGAATCATTTGCCTCCGTATTTGCAGAAAGTCAGGGCAAGTGGTGGTGGGGGAATAGTTTCATAGTACTGCTACTGCATAAGATAAGATGCCAGATTCCTGGACATTATTCATACCAAACCCCACAGCTTTATTCTAATTGTAGCAAGTATATATTTTAAGATGATTCCAGGTTAGCTCCTGGACAGTTAGCATTAAGAGAAACTTCAATCTATTATGAATCTTCACTCCTTTCTGGTTTCACTGACACAAATGGCTGCTCCATGTGAGCTTTCAGTGGATAGTCCCTCCTACCCTGAGGGGCTGCTTTTCCAGAGCATAATGGGGTTTTTTGGTTAAAAGAAATTATTTCCATAAACGTGACTGGGTGATAGATGCAGCCACTAAAAATGGGTAATGCCCCCATAGTGATCTTGGTCTTTAAAATCTTTAGTTTTACTCCATGCACCATTCTGCCTAATTTGTTCTTTATTGCTGCTCCCTATATTCAGCAAAGCAGTTGTATATGAACTCTTCAGGGCTGAAAGTCAAACTGCTTTGTTTATAGACAGTTCTACTGAAAACGTTGGATTCAAACATGAATCGAAATTGTCTGTCAGTTGTTTGTTCATGTCATAACTGATGGGGGAAGTGCTTTATAAAATCATTTCACATTCAGGAGTTGATGTTTTAAAGTTCTGAGGAACAACTTCTATCACTGAAGCCTACTGCGTGGAGTTTAAAAATGTGGTGTTACTATGATGATGAATCCCATGCAGAGGGTTCCAAGTAGGATCAGTGTCCTGCCTTTAGAGTTGTTGTTGTAAAGTTAAGTATCGCAGGCTGAGATTTACCCTTGTATATCATGTGTATGAATTAATTACATCTGTTAGTGGGAGTTAACTTACTACCAGGAAGAAGGGGAGGAGCGAAGCAATACTACTGCATCTTGGCACTCGGTACAACATCAAGGTGTACAATTTGTACCTACAGCTTTCTGCATGCATCTTGTTCACAAGACTTATTTAATTTTTAAATGTTCATTGTTTTTTACTTAATGTAAACTTTAAAAGCAGCTTGTCCTATGTTTAGTTTTTTGTGTAAAACCATCCTGTTAACTCATGACAGCCATTGTTGTAATTACTGTGTGATCAATGACTGATTCCTGTACAAATGTTGCTTTTTTTTTTTTTTTAATTAATACAGTGCTGATATGACTCAATCACAGCTTGAGTGGTAATTTAGAGACTGCTTTCTTCTCATTTTAATGCAACAGCCATTCCTAGAGAAGGGCAAACGTGTCAAGGGCCACTGTATGATTCCAGTACCCAGAGTTGAATGATAGGTTTGTCTGTCAGTAGATCCCAGTGTGGCTTAGCAATCTATGATGATGCTTAGGACCGTGAACAACCATATTAAAATAACCCTGTAGAATGGAGGAGCCCTGTCACAAAAGAAAGGGAGAAGTTAGAAATAGGAGAGGCTTGCAGGGGGCCAGCATAAGGCAGTCCCATTGCAATTTAGTTGTTAGTGGGGAAGGATGCATTATGTTTTCCATAGCAAAGACACAATGAACTTACCCACACAAAACCATACTAATAAAATAGCTTGAATATTTTCTGCATGGAAAACAGCTGTTCCCATCTCATCCAAGATTTTAATTAAAACTTCCCTCAATCTAGCTTTTTATCCCAAGGCTAACTTGTTATAATCTGCAACATGATTTACTGTTTATCTTTTTTTCTGAGTTTACAGTAACAGATAAGTTTAAAGAAATCTCATGTTTTTAATTTGGGGTTAGATTCTACACCCCTTACTCCATCAGTAGTCCCCACTGATTTTACTGGGACTATGACTAGTAAGGTACTACAACAGGCATAAGGGTGGCAGAATCTAGCCCTTCAGTAATTTAATAAACAATTCAGACGCAAGTGTATGAACAGGTATTGAGACTTAACTAGGGTTTCAAAGGCATGGATCTAGCAAGAAAGCAACAAGCAGACAGCAGTTTCTGTGTAGCTTACAGTACAAAATGCCATTCTTCCAAAACAGTGTTTTAATACTGGTTTTAAGGGCTAAAAGGCTGTGTTCAGCAGTTCCACTTGTCTTTCACCAGTAATTCTTTAAGTCATAGCTTGGTCCTAGTTTATAAACATTACAGAACCCCCTGCTCATTAGCCCAACAGTCAGTCTGCTGCAGTGAGTGAAGTGTCAAGTTGTGGACAGCAGTACCTTGCAGAGTTGTCTTTGACTAAGGCAAAGTTTGTCCCTCAAATTTTAATTATTAGAGAATAGCAGTTGCATAGACACACAAACAATGTAAGGTCTATCTGATTCATTGGCAGATGAGTGTAGTTAGACTGAGGGTGTCTTTAATTGTAAAGTTGTTTTGAATGAATTTCTAAAATAGTTCTCAACTTAGGTTGGGAGAAAACGAAAAGGGAGAAAGCCTTTTAAAAGCACGTAAGGACTTGAACTTTTTTTTTTATTTTCCATACATTAAATTTACTTAGATAAAAACATTCTAAAAATGTACAATTTTACCTTTAACAAAGTATAATAAAACATAAAAATTCCAATACCAGAATACTTGACATTTACAATTCAAAATCAAATTAGCTGAATATTAAATATTTACAAAACTATTTTAAAAATATTTATAAAGTTACATGCACAATTTTTAATACTAGAATTGACTGAAATAAGGAAAATGGCTCAAATTGGAGTAGGAGTTTCCTTCATTCCTAGTGGAAAAATTATATCCAAGAGAAGCTGTTAAACTACACTTCAAAACATAGGATTTGCTTTGTTTCTGTACCAAAGCATCTTTTACTCGTGTAAGAACTTAAAAAGTCCCAAGAGTTTGTATTGTATTTCCTTAGTATTGTAGTAACTTACCTTTGGCCTCAACCAGCAATATGGTTTTCTAGAATCTTGCAAGTGGTAAGTACATTTACTTCCAACAAAATAGGACCCACGGGATTTACAAAGGAATTCTAGACCACTCCCAGAATCCATGGCTTTAAGTGTACATGACCTCTGATACATGTTCTGTAGGACTGATGCCATTGTGAAACTGCAAGAACTAATCTATTTTCATTTGGGGCAGTGGGATTAGTGTGGCTTCTCTGCCAAATACCATCAACTAAATTTTAGTGTCAATACTAACAAGCAGGAAAGGGCATGAAACTCAAGCTGAGGTAACAGTGGTTGGTTTATACTATTTCAGGAAGTCCTTCACATATTTTCTGGCTGAATTTTTACTGGTCAGGTTTAATACACAGTTTAGGAAGTTTCACATAACATGAAACCTGATATCACTATGGAATCCTATTGATACCTGCTTCCTGATATGAATCTTCCTTGTTGAACCTCCTGACAAATGTTAATGACACACACAAACTAATCTCTAATGCTTAATTTCAGATTGGACTGCTACTGTCAGAGGAGTTGGTTGGTAATTCTGGTTTCATTCTCTTCCTAACACTTCCATCACCAATACTTTAAAATCAGAAAGACTATTGTGAAATTGCACTATAGATTCCCTCTGGTAAGGAAGCTTAAAGTTATGACCCTCTTCCACATTCCTATAGTGCTGAGATTAAAAGCAGAGAATGACAAGGAGTTTGTCCCTCTTTTGCATTTTAAAAACTGTCAGTTATTCTAGAGTGCAATCTAGTTTGTGAAGGGCAAAGATACGAATAAAAAAAGCTTAGACATTCACAAAATAGAAAATGTCTATTTTCCATATTTTGACATACAGAAATGGTATTATGAGCTGGTTCTTTCAGTCACTCTAGACAGACTAATTTGAGAGGAAAGAGATGGACTTGTGCCTTTTAAAATGGATTATATAATTAAAGTGCTCTGTTTAGGCTCACCAACGTTGGTGGTTCTTGGTACAAACGTAACAGATTACACTAGCAAATCAGAAGCCACGACTCAGGTTGATGATTTAGGGAAAGCTCTATAAACAGTACTGGCTCTTCAAACATCTACATTAAGCTCCACTTCCTTCCATTTACTCAGGCTTTTCTGAGTTTGAATTTGAAATCAGACTTAAAAGGTAATTTTTAAAGATAGTTAAGTGCACATTAATCAGTCTAGGAAATATCAGCCTTAACTTTACAAAAAGGAAACATTCTTGAAGACAAGAATTCTGAATGCAGGAATGAAACCATTTTTGAAGAAGCTAACTGGATAAAAGTTCAGTTTAATAATCCTTGTTACACCCTTTTGATTTGTAGTGAATATTAAACAGACAAGACTATACTTCCCAGCCTTGCCCATGAAACAAAATGCAATTGGTATAAAAAACAAGAATTTTTTTTGCTATTGGTTTTTGCTAGTTTGAGAGACGGCTTTTAGTACTTGCATGTGTGTTGAAATAGTTTAAATACAGTTCAATTTTAAAATATTCTTTTGTTTTAAAAAAGTGAAAAAATGTGGAAGTTTGGCTTTCAGCACATGTTCCAGGCTACTGGAGAGACCATCAAAATCCTGTAGTAAACATTTTAAGCGAAAACTGCAAGTTCCCTTTAACACAATATCGTATGACATTTTTTTTGTACTATTGTTTCAAGCTCATTAAGGCAAAGTAAATTGCATTGTCAGTTCTCATCACGTTAGTGTTGCAGATTTGAAAGTTGCTCATGAGACCATTATATGTAACCACCTCAAGATACAGACATAGCAAACAATTGTTTCAACACTGTCTATAAATACTGTGTAGTGTGAACGGAGCTGAGGATACAGAAGTATGGTGTTTCTTCATTGCATAGAAATAAACAACAGAAATCTTGTTATTTTTGAGAAACCAAATGTTACACAACTTCAGGCTTTGGTTTCCATGACGCCAAAAAACTGTATGACCTCCAAAGAAAAACTGGGACAAGTTTGGTGTCTTGCCATCTCATGTTACAATGCCTCTTTATCAATACTAATTTATCATATTGTCCTGGCCTGTTGTTGCTTTCGGGTGAGGCTGACAGTTTTGAGAAAACGGAACTAAAAGATGGCCCAGACATTTAACTTCTAACATTTGCCATTCAAATCTTGACTGACAATTTATTGCATTAGCTACTTAAACCAACACTTCAGTAGCTAATGCCAGATCTACCCTGAGGAGCTTTGCACCCACATAAAAAGTGTCTTGCGCTGGTATGGCTTTCCTTGCTTTCAAACCAGAGCAAGATGCACCAATACAAGTGCTATTTATTCTGGTGTAGAACATCTACCTTCGGGTTTGCACTGGTATAGCTATACTGGTGTAAAAAAATCCCACAAGGTAAACAAGGCCTCAGATATTAAAGTTGCATACTCTAATCTTGAAAACAAGAATCACTTTAAATTTCAGGCCATTTAAAAAAAAAAAGGACACACCCATTGCAGCGAGTGGAATTCCTTGGGCAAGACAGGACAAGACCTTTTCAATTCAGCAACATGAGCTTTGTTTGGCTTCCTCCTAACTCTTAATTAAACTTGCCAACTCAAAATTATGTACGCTAGGTAGTTAACACCAAAATTAGTAATCTGCAGTCTACTGCCACAAAGGAGGCCGACAGTAAATCCTTCAGAGTCTTTAAAATAATGACGTTTACTACCCTTTACATGTTTGAATTCTACCCCTCTGACTCCTGTAGCAAAAGCCCTGGGGTACAAGTCAGAGTTTCATTACATAAAGTAAAGCAACAGCGTGCTAACTCTGTTGCCAGAGTTTATTTTTAGGATGGTTTAAAATTCATTTACAAAAGCAGAGTAGTAAGGTTTCTGTGAAAGATACCTATATACAGTAACAGGACTTAAAAGGTGTTTCATGTATTACATAAAAAAAACCCTCTTTGTGAAGCCTTTATGGCCCTGGAGTCTCTGGGACTTGGACCCTTGGAAAACTATAAGTTCATTTCACTGCTAGTAACCCACTTCTATCTAGTAATAATGGCGACAGTGAGAGTAAGGTTGTTTCCAGAAGGAATTGAAACTGCCATGTGTGTTCTTTTGGAAGGGAAAGGAGAGAATTATTTAAGATTTTTATTGTGTAGTAAATCGCATAGCCTGCTGGTGCCAAAGTTTAAAGGTTGGAACTTCTTTGCCTCTTGCACTGGTCTCGGAGTGACACTATCTGCTAAAAGTGCAGAAGCCTGAATAGTTTTACATTCTTCTGTAGTGCAATCCTTAAAAATCCCAGAGATTAGTGCCTGATTACTTTTGAAAAAAAGTAGCCATTTTACTTAGCCCAGGGTTTCAGAGGTTGGCTGGCACACAGCCGCTCATACCTTCAACCTCCACCTCTCACTTCGGATCACATTGTAGTAGTTGCCCTGGAGTTATCCTTTTCATTGTAGAAGGTCCAAAGATGGCAACATTCTTCAGCAGAAGTGTGTAGGGTGGTTGGTTGTTTTGCATTTGCAACAGAAAATGTAGTTGGCCAGCTTCACCTGCCATCCACTGCGCATCAATCGCATGATACGTATTAGGCAAGTTCCATCTCCCAAGATCTAAACTTGAATTTGGCGATCAAAAATGGGTTTGATGCATCCCTAAGCTAGATTTTCTACCTAGTCTAGTAAAGTAAAGCACCTTTGGATTAAAAAACTCATTAAAACTTAACAGCAATGGACTTCTCAGTTTTGTATTTAACATTCCTTATCTCCATGGCTTACAGTGTTCTCTTGGCAGAGAAAGTATCAGTCTGTGGAGTCAAGACTTTCAGCTGGAGGGGCATATTTCAGCCTAAAAGTACCTGTAGAAGAGGGAAAGGGGGAAAGGAAGTCAACAATGCACACCTTTTTTACCAGTTATCTCTCACAGCATTTTAAATATCTGCTTCTTACAGATTATGCAACAGCATTATAAAATGCTATAATTTAAAAAAATAAGATTTTTTAAAAATAAACCCATTTAAAATTTATTAAAAAATAACCCATGTTAAGGTCTAAATTTAGTATAATCTATAAAATCATTTAAAATTAAATACTAAATAATGCACTACATGTTTGCTACCTTTGGGCAGGTCTACACTACAAGTGCTACATCGGCACAGCTGCACCATTGTAGCGCATCTGGTGAAGACGCTCTATGCTGACGGGAGAGCGCTCTCCTGTTGACATAATTGCTCCATCTCCACGAAAGGCAGAAGCTATGTTGGCGGGAAAGCATCTCCCACCAACATAGCGCCAGTGTGGACAGTGCTTAGGTCGCTGTAACTTGTGTTGCTCAGGGGGGTCTTTTTCACACCCCTGAAAGACGTAAGTTAGATTGACTTAAGTGGTAGAGTAGAGCCGCCCTAAGTTTTACAGAAAGTTAAGCCACTGAACTGATGGAAGTCACTGACTAAGCAACAATCTGGTTCTAGGTGAAGTGCTAAGCCAGCTTTTGACAGCAGTAGCCTCAGGCACAGAGAGAATATTTTCATTCATTTCAGTTTATTCAACTAGTTAAGTTCAGTAACTTGTTCATTCAAAGTTAAGAGATCGACTGAGAACTGAAAAAGCAGGAAAACTTGTTTTCTTCTTCCAATATATGAGTAAAAACTAAGTATGAGAGGATGACATCTACTGGTTCTAAAATCTTGAAGACCTCATGCCCAGCAGTAATCAGATACTACTACTTGTTAAAAAAAGTTTTAAATGCGCTTTTTTATAAACTTACTTTTCCCTTTATATAATAAAGAATGAATCATTCACAATTACATAAAAATGTAAATAACTAAGCATGTGAATAAATGTATGTTAAACTACATATGCTTAAATAAATGTGTATAGATGTAATGTAGCCTCCTGGTTAACAAAAAAGTGCCAAATGATACCAATCAATGAGAATCAGCTTATCTTTAGGAAAATAACTGAAGTACAAATGCAAAACAAGATTGATGATATTAATCCAAGTTTCCTGCTTGCTGATGTAAATCATGATTAAAATCAGTGATTAAATCATTTTGATTTAAATCAATCCATCCCCTTACACAATAAAAGCAGCAGCCAACCTCACTCTTATGAAGTTGACAGGGAGACGTCTACTGCAGGCAGGAGGAATGGGGAATAAAAACACAGCACAACACAGAATGCTGCTGTGGCTAAGATGCAACTTCGGGGCAGCAGAAGTTTTAAGATATTCAAAACGGCAGTAATTCAGGGCAGTTTTAAAGGAGTTGATAAAATGCAGCTTTAACCTGCATTAAGCAGCACCATTCTAGTTTTTTAGACTGAGCCTGTGTCTATACTACGGACCTTACAGCAGCACAGCTTTACTGCTGCACGGTCTCCTGTGTAGCCGTTCTATGCCGATGGGAGAGAGCTCTCCCGCCGTCATAATTAAACCACCCCCAACGAGTGGCGGTAGCTGTTGGCGGGAGAGTGTCTCCTGCCAACAGCGCTGTCCACACTGGTGCTTTGGTTGGTGAAACTTATGACGGTCAGGGGGGTGTTTTTTCCACACCCCTGACCAACAAACTTTTGGTCAGCCAAAGTGCTAATGTAGACAAAGCCTCAGAAGTCTGCTATTGGCCTAGGATTGACTGAGGCAGTGCCACAATTTTCTGATCTGCCTCTATCAAAATACTAAGTTCTAGAAACAACACTAATTATTCATATTTTTAGCACGACTGGAAAACTCTGCCTATTCTCTCTCTCTCAAAAAAAAAAAAAAAAAAAAAAGGTTAAGTTCTGATGACATTCTCTGCACCATTTAAACACAAAGAAAGACAGTCCCTGCCCCAAAGCACAACCTAAAATATTGTTTGCAGTGCCGTAGCCGTGTCAGTCCCAGGATATTAGAGAGACAAGGTGGGTGAGGTAAAAGCTTTTATTGGACCAACTTCTGTTGGTGAAAGACAAGTTTTCGAGCGTATCTTTAGGTCACCTGAAAACGAGCTCTATATAAGCTCAAAAGCTGGTCCCTTTCACCCAGAAAAGTTGGTTCATAAAAGATATTTCATTTTAGATTAACAAGGTGGGGAAGGTATCACTTTAGTATCGCTAGTTCTAGCCAAAAGTCTGCATGTCATTCTGGAAAGTTATACTACGCACACTATTATTTTAAACACAGAACTTCAGGAAAAGAGAAGTATGACCTGAACATGCTTTTGGTAAAGTAACAGTTCACTCCCAAATGTGCCCTGTCCTGATCCAAGGATTTAAAATCTCTTTTAGAGGTGCCTTTGCTACAATACTGGAAGATATATGCATGCCATGGAACCCACATTTTCAGTAACCCCAAGCCAAGTCCTTCAAGAGGATGCAGACACTTCATTACAGATGTTGCACTCTACTTATGTACTTTTTTTAAAAAAATGTATGAACTTTGAAGATAACCTTCAAAATAAGAAACAGACAACAGCTCAGGGGCCAAATTCACAGACAGTATAAGCAGCCGCAACACTATTTCAATCAGTCAATGGAAGTTCAGCCCTTCCATCCCTCGAAGGGAAATTCTCTCCTATGCAGAGGGCCAACACAAGACTTATAACAGCACTTATGCCCTAAAGCAGGGAACATGGGATACACACAGGAGTCAACTTAATCTTCTTAAATTTAGCCCATAGCATCTCTCTCTTTTCAAAGACACTGGCTTACAACATGATATTTTTCTGTAATTAAATGAAAACTTGATATAAAGACAAGGTACCATCATTAGATTTCGGTCACATCCCCACCCATCTAGGTAACTCCCATTCAGATCAACACGCAGTTTCGCACGCAGACTAAGCAGCCCCACAGCAGCACCACCACCAGCTTCTTACCTTGCCGATTGAAATCCATTGGTGGCTGTTTGCAATCCTGAGCTCGGTGACCACTGGCCCCACAGTTGTAACAGGAAAGGTTCCCAATTTTTTTGTGGCTTGAACCATTGCTGTTTCCCATCATTCCTTGTGCCTGATACACCCCTGCTGTTCCTGCCATAAAGTTCTGCATTGGGGGCACTGCAAACGTGGACTGCCCACTCATTACAGAGTCTGGTGTTAAACCACTGTTGTAGGGAGAATGAACCATTGGAAAAGTCGTGCTGCCGTTGTACTGCTGCGTGTTGATGTAGCCATTACTACATAAAGGATTGAAGGGTAGAAATGGAAAGGTAAACATTGAGGAACCTGAAAATGGGTGCTGGAAATAGTTAGCATAACTGACAGTCATACCGCCTGAACCACAGTTCCCACTACACCCACAGGAACTACACACCATACACCCAGGCGGTTGCTGCTGCTGCTGCTGCTGTTGGTGGTGGTGGTGATGATGATTCTGATTTGGTACTGGGATACTCCCTGCAGATCCACTACTACTGCTGCTGCTATAAAAATTGTTCTCAGCAACAGACGCAAGTGTAGGGCTAGAACTGGGGGCAGGACAACTGGGCAAATTTGCCATGTTTGCAAATGATGTGGATGGGTGGCTGCTGGAAGAGGCAGTGTTACTGTTTGCACAGAAGCTGCCTGGCATCGGAGCCACTGGCATACTGCTCATTGCAGAAAAGGCAACTTTGGTGTTGGCTGTATATAGAGCAGTCCGGGGATTGATTATTGCAGGAGAGACACTTATTTGCATATTGCTGGAGCAGGAAGTTTGTCCAGCAGTGGCAGAATCCGTAGGAACAGAAGAAGATACCAGGAGCTTCATGGGTGGACGTGCCATATGGAAGACTGTGCTGGACGTTACAGTGGCAGCAGTACTTGCTTCCGCTATTAATGATGTCTGTTGAGTTGTTTTTATCACTCTGTCCAGAGTTGAAGCATGTACAACTTTGGTTCGAGGACCATAGTTAACAGAAGACGAAGAACTGTTTTCAGGAACTCCTGAAAGTACTTGCAGGGGCTGATGGGGAGACGATGTGGGCATCACATCAACCACTGTATTTCCAAAGCTCTTGTCCATTTTAATGCTGCTTCTAGGTCCAGGTGAAGCTTTATTTCTTTCTTCTAGAGACAAAAGTGAATGCACAGAAGAGGAAAGTAGCTTCACGTCTGTATTTCGCTCTGACTTGTGCATCGCATTTAGCATTCGAATAGGGCTGATGTGGGTGGAGGCTGCTGTCATCATTTGCATTGGCAAGATATGGTGCCCAGAAGGATTGGAGCCTGCATCATTCTGCACTGGTAGAACCTGGGCTGTGGGTCTGGCGGAGCTCGAAGTGAAATGATTTAGTAACATCACTGGCTTCTCCTTTTCTGAACTGTCCAAGTGAATCTCTAAACCTAGAGACAGAAAGATCTATAAATACAGCTGCTTCACTGGACAGGACAGATCAACACAAAAATAAGCTTTGCTTGGTTTTCCTTACGTCTCTCATTCTCCTCAGCACTATCTGAGCTCTCTTCCCTGGTCTGGATCCCCATGGGGCTGGAAGAGGAACTTGAGTACTCAGAAGAACTACCTTCTCGGGGAAGCGGGTGGGCTGGCTGATCCACATCTACACGCAGCTCTAGGGATAAAGTATGCGTGATAAATCAGTTAGAAAATATGAAAACTATTTGCAAAATTTTCATCTAGAAGACAAAAGCCTGGTACAATACTGCAGTTTATGAATGTGTCTCCCGCTATACTCTGACCCTTAATACACAAAGATGCTTCAGGCTAGTGGGGATTCACATTGGCCTGAGGAGCAGGAGTCCAGAAAAGTAATGGTTACTCAACAGCTCTTCATATGCAAATCATGGAATGATAATTGTATGTTTGTTTCACTCAAATATCACCAGGAACAAGATTCCTCGTGCAAACAACTAAGTTTTGGAAGAACACGATCACAAAGGACTGACACAAATAAAGCAATTCAGTTTTAATTTGAGGTTGGGGCAGTAAAGCTATGAGCTTGCTGTTGTGCGAGAACATATCCATCCTATACCTTATAGCTTAAGCTGGTGCACTGTTCTTTATATTGCTTACTTACCTGCAGCATGGTTGCCACGAATACTCTGGATAGGCCCTACATGAGTGGTAGGAGGGACCCTTGCCACTCCACTGCTGGTAACTGAAGAAGGTGTTGCTGGATTTAGGCACCGTTTCTCTGATTTTTCTCTACAGCGAATGGGGTGGAGGGGAAAAAACAATTGGTTAAAACCATTTGGTATTTAAACAGATTTTTGAATGAAATTGAGGCAGATGGGGTCTATGTTGTCTAACTCAGTAATCGTAGTACAAAGATTATGCTAATTTAAGATGCACAAATATGAATATTTGGAAATTAAATCAATCTTAACCACCGCTTCTTGCCAGCATTTACATTGGTCTTTCTTGTTATATGGTATTATACTGAGCCGCTTATTTGTACAAGGTATTGAGGATAAAACATCACAAAAGAAGAGACTGAATTCTATCTGATTAACTAAATACAGCGAAACAGAGAGCTAGCCCTTCATTCCAAAGATGAAGAGGAAGCTAAATGCAGAGAATTTAAGAGATAAGTTAAATGTGATTCAAACTTTACAAAACCTAAGGCCTGGTCTACACTACAAAGTTAGGTTGATGTAAGTCCCTGTGCATCAGCCTCATTGTGCATGAGTTTATACTCAAATTTGTCTCTCACCAAGATAAGTGCCCTGTTATGGCAATGAGTAACACCACCTCCCTGAACAGCGTGGAGCCATGGTCGACCTACTAAGGTTGATGCAGTGTGAGTGCAGACACTGCACAACCTGTGTCAACCCAAACAGTCCTCCATCAGCTGTCCCACAGTGCCCCATTCCCTGCAACAGTGACTGCTTTGGTCACAATTGTAAATGGCAAAAGCCTCCCCATTTTAAAACCCTCTGCATATTTCTGAAATGCCTTTTCCTGATTGCCCACCTTAGCTGCTCTCCCTTGATGTGTTCAACTGCCCAATAGACCATGCTGGCTCCACACACTAGAAGCACTTCTGCCTGGATTAGACAGCACAGCTACGGACGAGCTGTAGAAACATGATCATCTACAAATAGATGGCACAGGGGATGCAAGCAAAGGGGTACGACAGGGATCAGCAGCAATGCCGCATGAAAGCAAAGGGACTGTGGCTGGTATACCACAACATCAGGGAGGCCAACAAATGATCTGGTGCTGAGCCACAGACCTGCCATACTTGGCGGAGACCCCACCAACACCCTACAAACCACTATGGATACCTCACAGGAGCCCAAAACAGAGACCTCCACTGTGAACAGTGAGGAGGAGAAGGGGGGAGATGTGGCGGGGGGAGGCAGCAATGCCACAAGCCAGGACCTGTTTGAGACTCCACCACAGTCTAACCAGTTCTGCCAGCCAAGCCTGGAGGAGCCCAATGAAGGGGAAGGGACCTCTGGTTCTTGTGTTATTTGAAGGGGTAAATAACACTTCCTTATTCACTTTCTCCATACCGGTCAGGATTTATATATCCTCCCTTAGTCATCACTTGTCCAAGATGAACAATCCCAGTCTTTTTACTCTCTTCTCACCCCAATCATTTTTGTTGCCCTTCTTTGTATCTTTTCCATTTCTAATATATCCTTTTTGAGGTGGGGCAACCAGAGCTGCATGCAGTATTCAAGGAATGGGCATAGCATGGATTTATATACAGCAGACCCTCGCTAGAACGCGCGTCTTTATAGCGCGAATTCTGTGGGACTGCGCATGGATCCCAAATTAATTACCTTCATTGGAATCCATGGTAACGTGGTCCCCGCGTTAACACGGGACCGCACAAGGATCCAAAACCCCACGTTCTAGCGGGTGTCCGGTGTAGTGGTCTTATGATATTTTCTATCATATCATCTCTCTGTTTTCTAATGGTTCTTAGCATTCTGTTAGCTTTTTTGACTACCACTACACATTGAGTGGACATTTTCAAAAAACACTAGAACAGTTTTAAAACAAACATTTCCCTGCAGCAGAGACATCAAATATATGGTCAGCTAGATGCATTTATGTGGCCCACTTGGCATATTTGGATTCTACAGAGCTACCCTTTCAAATGTAAAGCTAATGTTTTCCAATGTGCATTACTTTGCATTTATCAACACTGAATTTCATCTGCCTTTTTGTTACCCAGTCATTCAGTTTTGTGCAATTCTAGTATCACTGTGCTGGAGCACTGGGGTGAGCTCAGCACGCAGATCCAAGAACATGGTCTTTTGCATCCAAAAATTCTGCAACCACTTCTCATCGTCTTAAACCTGCATTACACTGTGATCCAACCATTCAGTGCTTGTTTCTTGGACCCAAAAGCTGTGCTCCACCATCTGAAGCTGCTCCATGAATGCCAACAACAACCTTGGATTGTTTTTCGCTATGTCTCAGCAAACTGTCCTCCATTGTTGCGGTACTTCCTGCGAGTGTGCAGATAGAGGAGGATCATGCATTCTGTACTTGCGGCGTCCATGAGAATAGCACAGAGCTCTGTGGGCTCCATGCTTCTGTCAGAGATGGTGGACTCTGAGAAGCGCTGAGCAGGTTTGTGGGATTTTTTTTAAAAAGTCATGAAAATGATGGGATATGGATGGCATTATGGGGTGGAGAGAGCTGCATGCTGGGAACTTGACCCCTCGCTCCCAGAGATTCCTGCACGACTCATTACTACCCCACAACATATTGCGAAAAGTTCGCAACAGGCTTTGAGCTGGAGAGTAGTGCATGGCACACTGGGATATCTACCCAGATGCACTGCACTTTGCATCGACACAAGCACTCCTGGCGCGTATCTGCAGTGCCAATGCAAACAACCAAGTATGCATGTGCCCAAGTGACATACAAGCTTCAGTGGTTGCATGCCAATGTAACTTGTGTCAACCAAAGTTTGTAATGTAGACATGGCCTTCAACTAATAAAAATGTGGGAGGGGAGTGTGGTGTGTGTACCTAAACACTGGAACAGTTTTAAAATAAATATTTCCCTGCAGCAGAAACATCAAATACACCGTTACCTCGATATAACGCGACCCGATATAACACAAATTCGGATATAACGCAGTAAAGCAGTGCTCTGGGGGGGCAGGGCTGCGCACTCTGGTGGATCAAAGCAAGTTCAATATAACGCGGTTTCACCTATAACGCGGTAAGATTTTTTGGCTCCCGAGGACAGCGTTATATCGAGGTAGAGGTGCATTTATGTGGCCCACTTGGCATATCTGGGTTCAACAGAGTTAACCTTTCAAATGTAAAGCAACTGTAACCAATGCAGTGTTGTTTGCCTGAGTCTGCAGAGAGCGCAGATGAATGACGCACAAACGTGAACCCCCTCACTTCTGCATTAATCTGGTTTGGGGGGTAACCCCAAAGCTCCATGCCAACAACTATTTATTTACAGGTCATTTAATCAGATAGGATGGAAACCAAGTGAAAGCGAAGCACAGGGATGAAGGGATTTCGAAGTTGCTGCAGGGAAGAAAATGCAGAGAAAAGAAAGGAGGAAAGAAAAAAAGAGAAGGATAGGGAAAGGAGAGAAACACAGGACAGAAAGAACATTGTTGCTAATGGTGAGAATGTTTTGCCACCGAGTGATGCTGAATTCAACCTTAATAATATTTAAGACAGGAAGGAGTTTAGTTACTATATACAGGGCATATGCCACCTTTGATCTTGATGCAAATATCCCACTGATATGAGTTGCTGTTTCATGGTGAACTGAGGGGAGTAGGTAATCCTAAATTTATGCTCCAGGTTACAATTTAAAATGGAACATGGCCCTCGTGAAGTTTACACATCTATCTTACAATGTCTGGGATTCAAATACTGCAGTTCTGAAAACTTAAAATTGAAAGTGACTTTCCTTGTCCAACCTGAGATAAATTAGAAAACAAACACAGGAAGAGCACAAATAGTGAAACGTAATGTGGATTTTTAAAATTCTTCCAATGTTAATAATTTAAGAAGTAATTAGTAGCATAGTTCAAGGAATTTGTTTACTTTATGGTTAAAGTTGACAGTGTGCCTTTGAAGTTGAGTTCACCAATTCTTTTATGTGCTTATCTTATCGGCCTTGAATAATCAATAATAAAACAATAAGTACTAAATATAAAAAATCCACATTTTCGAAGTGCTTTTCAAACTAATTAAGCCTCCATACCCCTATGAAAAAGAAGTGGAATCCAGATTTACACATAGGGAAAGCCTGGAAGGTTTAACAATTTGCTCTGTCCTCAGAGCAAAACCAAGAGAAAAGCTGGGATTAAATTCAGGAGCTTGTACAATTCTAGTGCCATCTAACCATATTTTACCAACTGAAAAAGCCAGACAGACTACACACCCCTCCCCACAACACACATACTTACTTTTCCAATTCCAGCTGGGTCTTGAGTTTTTTCTTTGCTCCCATGGTGAGGGATTCAAACTTATTCAGATCTTCTTCAGTAAGGCTCAGAAACTTTTATAGGAGGAAATATGGAGCTGATTTTACAGTGTGCAATATATGGATACATACATTTCAAATGACCCTACTATATTCTCAGTGATTTCCAATTCTGAGAAGCACCTTGAAGACTCTTGTTTTACACATGTATGTGAATTTTAATAAGTTTTATTCCAATTTTAAACTAAAGATTTAGGGCAGTATAAAAATGGAGGACTTGGATATTCCAAAGAGGTTTTTTAGATTAATTACTAATATACTGTTAAAATATTTGCCTATATTGATCATTCACAATAAAGACAACATAGTCCGTGTGCGTACTGAAAGGCAATTTTGTATCATAAATGAGCCAAATAAAGTTTTAAGTTCTGGTTCCCTAAAAAAAATCCTGCCATTTTGAGACTTCTCCCCAAGGTATCGAATAATTATCTGGCGACTATAGGAATGACATAGCATACAGGAAACAGGTAATTTTGGGACTAGTCAATTTGGTGCAAGAAATATTTGACAAATGTTGGGAAGGACAAGTTGTAAGGGGCAAATTAAGGTTGAAAATTTCTACTCCTCCTCCCTCCAATGAATACTTAATGTCCATAGCACTACCACTGGCTCAATGAGGGTAAGACTGTAGCAGAATGCAGGGCCATTAACTACTTCCTAGCACACAAGGAGGGCTGCTGTAATGTCAGAAGCGGAATGATGCCGGTGGCAAGGTGGTGAGAGATGAGTGAACTGTAGGTTGGGGATTCTTTTGGTTCTTTTTGTTTATGATAAATTGTTTTTGACTTACACTGATAAAGATCTGCTACTGAAAAAGTCATGCTGATTACTGCGGCTTTATTCCGGCTGATTCAACCCAGAGTATACCAGCTGGTTATCAAAAGTTAACATGTAATGTATTTCACCTGAATGTGTCATTTAACACAGAAATCATTTAGCTATCCCATCTAGAGCAGAGTTCAGTTTTGTTGCATGGGTCAATCTAGTTGCAAAGGTACTGTGAATATTTTTCAGCAGAACATACATACCAATATAAGCACAGCAGTTGTTTGAAAAAAAAAAGTCAAACATTAAAATATGCACAATTTTGTCAGGAAAAGGAAAAATGACTATATATATTTTTCCTGAATGAGGAAAACCAAATTAGAAAACTGTGGCCTTAGGCCATAGTCATTGAAATAATATCTTTCAAGCCATGCTGCAGTGCTGAAAAATCATTGCAATTCAGAGCCATGACTTAAAAGAATCAGAATAAGTATTTAATCCACCAGAGGGCACTCAAAGTTCAAATATAGTAAGAGGAGGAGGTTAATTTTACAACATGTATATTACAGATAGAACTGGGTATTAAACAAGTACTTACATTCATCTGATTAAAAGCCAATGTACTTCAATGGCATTCATGACACTTTTTATGCAAACAATCATGCAATGCATTTTTGTTCACAACGTTTGTGGAAAATGAAAGCATCCAACACTCATGCATGTTTACCCACACAGAAGCTCACTTCAGAAGTGAATCTTGACATGCATTTGGATAACCAAGGCTTTTACAAATAGGAGGGAAAAATCAATCAAGAACAAGAATAAAATGTGACTTAGATGACTTATTGCACATCAAAGGATGAATAGTGAACAGGAAGAGCAAAGGGGGTTTGTAATAAACCAGACATTGAGAATTCTGAACAAACTAGGAAATATTTAAAGTAAGTCTCTAGACAGTTCATCCACAAAAACAGGAGGCCATTTCATCAAGTAAAGTGTTCCTACAAATAGTTTGCCCAGCTCTAGCTACAAATATCAGCCAGTCTAAATGTAAACATTAGCCTATTTTGCCATTTCGCTTTTCTATACATGCTAGAGAATATATGGCTTATTTAAAAAAACAGATTCCTTTCTCCTATCTAGCCCACCACTTTACCTTCTCCATTGTGAGTTGTTTGAAGACAGGATAATACTTGTGCAACCGCAGTTTCCTGAGCCAGTCTAAAATCCCATTTTGCTCCTGGGTCTGGGGCGTCTGTGAACTGGAAGACAACATGGGTGAAGAGGTGTCCATTTGGGAGCGGTAGGCTAAAGATGAGCCTGTACTCCCTGAATGAGAGCAATGGGGCAGTGAAACTGAAGAAACAGCTGAGTGCTGTACATGATTCTGTGAAGACTGAATACCAGCTACTCCACATATAGGTCTGCAAAATAGAAAAATAATTTGATTTAGCATACCGAATTACTGCCATTCAGAGTTCAGTCACTATGATCATACACACACACCCATTCACCAATAAAATAAATCCCATGTTTCAGGGATCAAACACACTGCTTATTTTATAAATTACTGATTTATACTTTTAAAACCCTACACTACTAATACAATGAAAACAGTACAGGTTATGGCTAACGTTAAAGTTGAGATTCCAACATTGGCATAGCTTTCCCCATCAATGCAATATATAAAAAAATATCCATTGTGAAATGGTTTTTTACACATGTGGAGTGAGTGAATCTATTCAGTTAATATTATTTCCCCCCTTGGTCTTTCCACTTCCAGGTGAAGAAACAAGAATCACCTCTCAGCTGTAAAGTATTCATTACTCAATTTCTGGATTTGTCAGATCCTAAGCAAAAAGGCAGGAATATGTCTTTCCTTCTCTTCCCATGGCTGCCTTGAGCCTCTGTTGGAAGAGGTCAGTGTCCTCCCTCAGGAAAGCCAGATTCACAGTTTAAAAAACACTGCCCTTAAAGGGAGACACTCAACTACAGTATGGAGGAAACACTATGATGGGCCTCTAACAAAACCTAGGTGATATTAGAGAAGACCATGGCTAGGTAATTCTGGCTGCATGAGGATTATTATTATTTACTACTTGTATTCTGGTACTGCCAAGGAGACTCCAATCAGGGATCAGGGCCCCATTGTGCTAGATATGCTGCTACACACACATATAAAGAAAAAATGCTCCCTGCCCCAAAGAGCTCACCATGAAAGCAGAGGGCGAGCAACAACCAGGGCCAGCTCCAGCGTTTTTGCCACCCCAAGTGGCGAAAAAAAAAAAAAAAAAAAAAAAAAACAGCGCTCAGCAGCACCTCGGCGGGGGCTCTACCGCCGCCGCCCCACCCTTCAGCTGCAATTCGGCGGCAGGTCCTTCCCTCTGAGAGGGACTGAGGGACCCGCCGCCGAATTGCCGCTGAAGAGCCAGATGTGCTGCCCCTTTCCGTTGGCTGCCCCAAGCAACTGCTTGCTGCGCTGCTGCCTGGAGCCAGCCCTGGCAACAACAGATGGATACAAGCCACAGCTGGGGCAGTGTGAGGTAACAGTGAGACAAGTATGACTAATATAATAAGCAATAATCACAGGGAATTCTCCCACCATTGTGGGTCAGCTGGTTCTAACAACAGTAGGAATACTGATGTAAACTGATTGTCACAGTTTTACCATTCTCAGCAATTTTGCTCAGGGCAGGTAAAAACACCATGCAAAAAATGCCAGCTGCTTGTCTACGCTAGAGCTCCCACCTCTGCTAGCATGAGTAGAGCTGTGCACCCAGTGCTAACATTTCCTAAAATCTTCAGTATAGTCAGTGAAACCACAGCTTTCAGAGTTCATTGCACTGGGAGTTCCACAGATTAACACAGGTGAGCACGCACCCCCAAGTGCATATAACAACACTGCATATAAAAAAAACCCTCTCTCGAACAAGGGCAAGCAGATAACTATCTAAGTGAAAGAATTTTACAACTCTACATTGACACAGAAGTCAGGTATCTCACCTTCCAGATGCACCCAGCGTAGTGACTACTTTATAGAGAGAGGGGTTGCCAGGACCTAAACAACAGGAAGATTTAAAAAGTTTTGACTGGCATCAGTTTACTGGATTTATGTCAATAATATGTGCATTTTAAACTGTTTATTTAAACTCACTTGAACTCTGAAGTTGCTGGGAAGAAGATGAAGTGCTGAAGAATTTCTTGACATGGTCATTTTTCAGCACATGGGAAGGTAAGGATGCCAAATACCTAAAAGTTAATTTACAAAATTATGTTTGTTTTGCAATTGACCATGAAATCAACACTGAAATCAAGAGTGAAATTTGCAATTACCTTTATTTTTTTATGCCTACTGAATTCATGCTATTCCTTTATACTGTCTCTAGTTTGGTTAATAGTTTACATTCAAAGCTGATTACAGACTTATGAATACAAGAGGTTGGAACAGAGAAAAATTACAAGACAGAGTGTACAGGGATAAACTTAAAAATTGCCTCTAAAAATTGTGAAACTAAAGCCCATAAACTATAGCTGTCTACTATTGTTCACGCTAAACTTTCAAATGAACAGCAGGCATTTGAGTATATCGCGCCTGGCAATATAGTTAAATAGGCTGTAAAACTGGTGTCACATGTTTTCTGCTAAGCTCATTCCTCTTTTGGGAAACTAAAGATGGCAATCTTCTAGAACTTTATAATGTGTAAAACATACATTATATTAATGTGTATTACCAGAGTTTTTCTTACGAAGCAAAAAAAAAAAGTGTTTGGTTTTCACCTGCCAAATCATCTACATATTTTGAAAGCACTAAAAAAATTGTTGAAAAGTAAGGAAAAAACAGGGGGAAATGTTTTGACTGCATCTTCATATTTGTAATGTCTAAAAAGACATTGGGTCAAAAGTTACTTCTATATATAGTTTCCATCCTGAAAGTTCACAGTTTGTTTTCATAGTTTACAACCAAAGAAACATGAATAAGTCACTAATATGAAAAATGAAAACATTGCAATCTGGGGGTCTTTATTAGGTAATGTATTTAGCTTTTTAAAAATAAACATCTATCTTTCTCTGTTGTGAAGATACAAAAGAGACTCCGCTGCTCTGTTAACCTAGACTTGTAGAAAACTTGCCAACTAAACAATAACAGTGACAAAGATATGAAGCCTAAAAGGGATTATTTAAATATTAACATTATTTATCGTTACAATCTAAGCATACATCTGTTGCCTTTACTCTGGCAAAATGGTGTCCACCAGTGCTGTTCCACCAACAACAGTAATGGGGAAAAAATGCTCTGTCCTGACTAGGAAAACATGGTGTTTGGCAAGCATACTAACATGTTAATTAGCATGTTTTCCAATAACACTTCATATGCAGAGCAGACAGGTATCTAAAGAAGTCAGCTGGTCCTTGTTGACTCTTAACTTAAAATCTGCTTGTAGAACTCTTTTAGCACTTTGAAATAAACCAACCAAACCAAGTGCTTGCTGACATCATTTTGCTTGATGGTGTTCCAAATTAGATAGTTTTAAACTACTATGGTTGGTCCACAATGGCCAAGTGAGTCATGTTGGGAAGAGCCTTTTAAAAACCATATATTAAGAGGATTTATGTGCCACTGGCGGGAGGTGTGAGGACAAATCATAAAGAGACTTAGAAAATAGTTTAGCTCTACAGACACACAAGTCAACTATTTTACATGAGCATAGGTGCTTATTCTACTTTAAAGTAATAGTAACATCACAACAACTTGATTCCCATTAACTGTGAGGAACAGCATAATGCGCTGTGAAAGTGTTTAAAAAGACATCCTCACATAAATGAGGACTATTACCCAGAAAACAATTTTCTTGTATTTTTCTACTAGTTCTGGCTATGTTTCTCCATTAAGGGCCCAGACCAATTTTACAGATCTTACTCAGGCAAAACTCCCATTTGCAAGATAAGATCTTGAGTGAATATCACAAAAGGCTGTATAACTAAAACACAATCTTCAAAAATGCTGACAATTTCATCTTTTTTTCCTGCTACTGCTTACAAGTGATTAACCCAAGTGTGGCCTCTCTCTAAATTCCATATTGAACAAGCTTAAAACTTCACTCTTAACTTGCTTTGTACTGGAAATTATCTAAACGTGATCACTTTTTCAAGGAACTTTTTCCACCTTAAGGCTGTAATCCATTATTTGCTTCTACCAAGGAGCCCCATGATTTTTACTTCTTCGGAAAGTGTAACTTAGTGCAATGTGACCATGTCGATTTCTACACATAGGGTCCAAGTTTGTCAAAACTCTTGTACATTGAAATTAATGGAATTACAAGCAACTATGTTTTTAGGATTAGGCTCAAAGTTCTTGAAAGTAGTTTAAAATGTAGACAAGATGTTTCTATGTCCTGATTCTCTCTCTCCCTCTCTCCCCCCCCCCACCTTTGGACAAGGAAGCCAAGCGGCAAGTAAAAATTAGCTTTCAGAAGCATACCTAACATCTGATTCCAGGTCCATGTGGTTCCTTTCTAGGTAAAACGAATCTGGACCAGCTAGGCAAGGAATGAATTTCTCCAAGTTTTCTTCTGGGTACAGCTGAGATAGCTAAAGGAAGAGGATATTATAAATTGGAAAAAAACGGTGAAAAGGCGGCTTGTTACTTGTCATTTGAGGACCCTGAAATAGTTCATGAGTTACACATTTATGGAGTTCAATCTATCCATGTTATCTTAGGGAGCTTCTAAAATATAACTGAATAAAATCACATATAAAGACAAAGTAAAGTATTTTAGAGTCCTTTACCTTTGAAATAAATTCAGTCACTTCAGTAGAAGATTTGGTTACCAACGTCACTGAAGAATCAGACCACAAGACCTTAAGAAATGAAAAGTGTTTGGTTTAGTAACTAAGCACACAACTCTATGGTTAGCTCTAACAGCCTGGACTCAATAAACAGCAATGTTTATTTCACCCATTATGTGGATAAAGGCTTGGACCATCTGTATGTTTGGCATAAACACAATAAAAAATTTTGTTCAAACCCAGTTACAGTCCCTCGGCTCACTATTTTTATTTTGAAGATGGCTGTCTACCCTTCTCGCAGTATTTGACTCCTGCTAACTGCCATTATAGCTAAAACTATTCAGAGTTCTTAAATGTACTTTACATTTTATAGAGCCTTGCCAACTATAGCAAATGTTAACACCAAATGGGAGAAACACTGATTGGAGAAACATTTTCCTCCCATTGTTAACTGAAACAGCTGGTTTGTAGAATCCGAACAACAAACCGCAGCATGTTACAATGCTCATTTGCAATCAATCAATTCCATATGTAATGCAAAGTTGAGGCTCTGATGAAAACGTCCCATACAAAATAGCAGAGGCTTAACACTGACACCTGCAGTTATTGTTCTATCTACACACTTTAGACAGCACCTTGTGTATGTTCTAGAAAAGCGAAGAGATTAGCTTCTCTTCCTATCTGCTTTTCTACAAAAAAGTCCCTACAACTTTTTTTTTACCAATATTACATTCATTGGTTCGTGGCTGACTGGTTTAACTGAGCCAAAAGTAAGAATATCTTCGCAGAAAGAATATCAGAAAAGTTTGGCTAGTATTGCTGATCCTAAAGATCCTTAGACTGAAAATACCTGAGGTCAAGTGTTTGGAATGCATCTGAATCTTCAACAGTAATGTATGGAAAAGCCTGTCTTTATGTTTTTAAAAAAGCAGGAAGCGATTTTTCCACAACACTAGTTTCAATGACAACTGAAAACATACAAGGTTTCTCCAGCCATCAGGATTCTTCCAAAACACTAGTGAGTGGAGAGTAAAATACATTACATAATTGAGGAATTTCCTCTTCCTACAGTTGCTACATCAAACCCAAGAAAGAAAACCCAAGGAATTTCTACTTCTACAAAATGTCTCCCCCGCCCCCAACCATCTCATGCTACATTACCAATTTTCTTTCAGGGTTCATGAGCAGTTTCACAAAATATGAAAGGAGATATATCCCCCCCCCCAGTTTTGTAATAACAATAATTGACATCTGGCAGACTGTTTTATGTTTTGATAACAAGTTATAGTTCTCAGCATTTACAAAACAATCACATGCATTTCCAAATCAATGACAAGTAATTCTCATCACACCAAATTGCTTAGTCAGCTTTGCTTCTTTTCCCCATTGCATCCAAGCAGCATATTTGAGGAGTTTTTAACCCCGAGAATCGCAATTTATTGGTTTAGCTAAACTGTACCCTGTTCTTTCAGACAGTTATAGAGCATCAACTTGAAATGATAGTTTCATTTGGAAATTTTGTACCTACTATTATTACAAGTAAGATCTGAATTACTATCACTGAAATTGCAGGGGGAAAACGGTTTATGTTTTATTGTTTGTTTATGTTGTGTATTTGACAACACTGTGTGT